TATTTGGAAATAACAAGGTGAACGTCCACCCTACCAAGCCTGTTATTTTGAAATAAGAACTCCTGCTTGTGAAGAGGAATAAACTCATTTAGAAATAGTTATGTGGGAGTTCTTATTTCAAATAACATATTTCAAAATAACCTGGTAGTGGGGAGACAGCCCTAGATTGTAAACTCTTTGGGGGGAAGGGCTATCTTTTTGCTCTGTTCGTTCAGCACCTAGTGTAGCACTCGCAGGCGGAATTGAACTTGGAACCTCCAGAGCTTAGTGCATGAGCCTCTACTGCTTGAGCTAAAAGACAACTCACTCTCAGCTAAGGCTGTTAAGCAAACTCATCTTTCTGTCTGTAAGTGGCTTAAGCGCCACTACAGCAGTGGTCACCAACCAGTCGATCGTGATCGTGATCGTGATCGTGATCGACTGGTCGATTGTGGAGGCCCTGACAGTCGATCTTGATGCAGTCAATATTCCCAGCCCTCCCCCCCACAATGAGGAGCCCATGCTGCTGCTACAGCCTCCTGCCCCTCGCAAAATTGGAGTCGGCACCAGCTTCCTGAGGGGGAGGGGTTCCCAGGTTCTGCATCAGATCTGGCTTGTTAGGAAGCGTGCTGCTCCTCCCCTTTCCACTGTAGTGTGCATACTTCCTAATTTTCACTCCCTTCCCCCATGCTTCTGGGAGTCAGGGTCAGGGGGAGGGGGGTAGAAGGCTAACATGGCAGTGGAGGATTCAGACTTTGAGCAGCTAGCTTTCTTCAAGGAGCAGCACATGCACTTCTTCCAGTACTGCCTGTGTTCCTGGAGACCCCTAGATACTGGCTGAGCTCCTCCTGCCCTCTCTCTCCTGGCCAGACACCCGCCAGCACCCTGCACCTGTCCTCTGCCCAGATACTCGCCAGCACTCTGCTCCTGCCCCCTCCCTTCTGGCCAGACACACACCAGCACTCTGTTCCTGCCCCCTCTCTCCTGGCCAGACACCTACCCCCAGCTTGCTCCTGCATCCTACCTCCCACTCAGATTCTTCACCCCCATCCCTATCCTTCTCACTGGCAGCTCTGTCCCGCACACTGGACCCCTCATTTTTGGCCCCACCCCAGAACCTAGGGGGCCCACAAAATCCACTAACCCTTGCACCCCAAAAGATTTAATCTGGCCCGAGATCTTGAATCTCAGTTCTACCTACCCTCACCATGAGGCTGGATTCTTAAGTGCCATTACAATTCTAATTATTATTAATATTACTCTTATACAATCAAAGAATTGTAAGGGACCTCGAGAGGGCATCAAGTCCACTCCCCTGCCTCCAGGGCAGGACCAAGTCTCATCCAGACCATCCCTGATGGATGTCCATCTAACCTGCTCTTAAACATCTCCAATAATGGAGATTCTACAACAGTGGTCACCAATCTGTAGATCAGGATCTACCGGTAGATCTTGGAGTCTCTGACAGGTGATTCTGACTGGTTTAGCTAGGAAGCTATCAAGTGCTGGCACTTCAGTTGCCCCTTCACCATCATGCTACTCCTGCCCTCTGCCTTAGAGCTGCCCCTCTGGGAGCCTCCTGCTCACTGTGCAGGGTGTGGGAAGGAACAGAGGGGGGACACTGATGTCATGGTGTGCAAAAGAGAGTCTAGATTGGCACGGATGCTTTTGTGTAAAAAGTGCTTTTGCGCAAAAGCATCCGTGCCTAGCATAGACACACTTTTGCACAAGAAAGCTCCGATGGCCATTTTAGCCATTGGGCTTTCTTGCGCAAAAATTAAAGGTGCATGTCTACACTGGCCCTCTTGTGCAAGTATTCTTGCGCAAGAGGGCTTATCCCTGAGCGGGAGCGTCAAAGTATATGCACAAGAAGCACTGAATTCTTACATTAGAATGTCAGTGCTCTTTTGCAAATTCAAGCGGCTAGTGTAGACAGCTGACAAGTTTTTCCGCAAAAGCAGATGATTTTGCGGAAAAACTTGCCAGTCTAGACACAGCCAATATGTGTGTGTCTGTTATTCTCACAAACACACACTGTCCTTCACTCTCATCTCCTGACCAAACACATATGTGGGGGGTTGTTGTTATTTCTTTTACTCCTTGCAAAGTGGGTTATTTTTGGTTTTTGACTACTCTGTGCATTTCATAATGTTCATTTCTCTCTTCAGCTTAAATGTAAATCTTTGAGTAGTGAGTTCTAAAATGCCTAACCTGTCATGGCAGGAGTAACCATCCCTGTGGTAATTGCTGCTATTGGAAATGGCTGGCACGTCCCTGCAGCCCCTGAGAAAGGCAGAGCAGGGGGCCTCCACATGCTGTCCTTGCCTGCAGACACCTCTCCTGCAGCTCCCATTGATCAGTAATGGGGAACCTTGGCCAGTAGAAGCTGTTGGGTCAGTGCCTGTAGATGCAGGGCAGCACATGGCACCATGGAGCCATTGCTGTACATGCCAGCTGCTTTCAGGAGAGGTTCAGGGCCAGGGCAGGAGTAAGCCTGCCTTACCCCCACTGCTCCACCACCTGGAAGCCATCTCAGTTAAATGATGCCCAGCCAGAACCTCCTCCTACACCCAATCTCCTGCCCCAGACATGAGTCCCCCTGCACCCATCGTTGGAAATGGCTGGCACGTCCCTGCAGCCCCTGAGAAAGGCAGAGCAGGGGGCCTCCACATGCTGTCCTTGCCTGCAGACACCTCTCCTGCAGCTCCCATTGATCAGTAATGGGGAACCTTGGCCAGTAGAAGCTGTTGGGTCAGTGCCTGTAGATGCAGGGCAGCACATGGCACCATGGAGCCATTGCTGTACATGCCAGCTGCTTTCAGGAGAGGTTCAGGGCCAGGGCAGGAGTAAGCCTGCCTTACCCCCACTGCTCCACCACCTGGAAGCCATCTCAGTTAAATGATGCCCAGCCAGAACCTCCTCCTACACCCAATCTCCTGCCCCAGACATGAGTCCCCCTGCACCCATCGCCTTCCTAGAGCTTGCACCCTGAAACCTCTCCTGGACCCTATGATTCTATAACCCTAATCCCCTGCCCTGGGCTAAGACCAGAGCCCCTCCCACACTCTAAAACCCCTTGACCCAAGACCAGAGCCTGCTCACCAACACCCTACCCAGCCTGGTGAAAGTGAATGAGAACGAGGAAGAAGAGGGATGGAGCAAGCAGTGTGAGGCCTTGGAGAAGGGGTGGAGCAGGGCCAGGGCCTCAGAGAAGAGGAGGGAAAGAAGCAGGGCAAGGGTATCTGGGTTTGAGGTAGATCTTACATCGCACTTACATTGAAAAAGTGATCTTGTGGTTAAAAAGGTTGGCAACCAGTGTTCTACTACCTCCCGTGGCAATTTATTCCAGTGCTTCACCACCCTGGGGGCACATCTACACAGTAGCGTTATTTTGAAATAACAAGGTGAGTGTCTACGCAGCAAGCCCGTTATTTCAAAATAACCAGCTTCTTATTTCAGAATAATAAACCCTAATTTCACGAGGAACAACGCCCATTTTGAAATAGTTATTTTGAAATAGGAAGTGTATAGACGGGACAGCTGTGGTTATTTCAAAATAATTGGCCTCCAGGGCTTCTCACAACTCCCTGGTGGCTTGGGGCAGAAGGAAGGCCCTGCCAGCCCTGTGCCATGCTGCACCACCATTGCGTGCAGCAGTGGCTGACCCCAGTGCTCCCACCAAGCCCTCCAGTGCTGCTAGCGAGCCCACAGCCAGCTCGTAAGCCCCTGCCCAGGGGCAGAACAGGAGGGCACTATCCTGGTCTGGTACAGAGATCCTGGATCTCATTGAGGTCTGGGGAGAAGAGGAAAACCTCCAGGATCTGTGCACCAGGTGAAGGAACGCTGATATCTACAGCCAGGTGGCCAACAGGCTGGGCCGCAAGGACCACATGCCATTGGAGCAGGTACACATGAAAGTGGAAGAACTGAGGCAGGCCAGAGAGCGGAGCTCCCACTCTGGAGCAGCACCTCACTTGTGTCCCTATTATGATCAGCTCCACTGCATCCTGGGAGGGGGGGGATCAGTCCCTCCCCGCCTTGTTGTGGACTCTGGGCGGGAGACATCCATCATTAGTCTCCTGGAAGGTGGGCCTATGGGCAAGGAAGATGAAGAGGAAGTCAAAGCCAGCCAGGTCATAATGCCTGCCAGCCAGGAGATCAGCCTGTCAATGGAGCCGGTACCCCACTGCCGGGTTGTCACCCAGGGCTCAGATGAGGCAGGGAAGGCCCATCAGGTGAGTTGCTTTGCTTTCCCTGCACACATGGCGAGAGGCGGTGGGCGGCGAGGGGCTGCACGCTCCTCGCTCGGCTTTCTCGCCCTGGGGATTGCACAGCAGCCTCTGCACGTGGGTGCATGTGGAGCGCCCATCCAGAGCACACAGAGTGCACATGAAAGGAACCTTGCACTCCTGATCACAGGGTTTCTGGAGAGGCCCCGAGACTGTGGTGGGACACCTTCCCATCACAAGCCACCACTAAGGAGGATGGGGCCATGGACACAACAGCAGTGCTGCACATGGCATGAGGTCATGCCCACGCTCCTGGGATAGCATCTGCTCCCAGGCAAGTGCTGCAAGGCAGAGGACTCCGAGCCCCTGCCATAGGAACCTGCCGGGAGGGAGGAAGAAGAGGGGACCCAGTAACGCCCTTCCAAGCACATGGTGTCTGCCACTCACACACCTCTCCCCCAACACTCTTCCCCCTCTCCCTGTGGGATGCCGCCACTGCTGGACCTGGCATGTTCACAGCATGGAGAGAAGGTGACCCACCTCATCACCCTCTTCCTGCCCGCTAGCTTCTGGTCTGGCTGGCACCTTCCAATGCCTGCTTGTCCCTGGGATGTGGGGATAGGGAAGCTCCCCTGGGACATCTGTGTACCTGCAGGAAGGTGCCCACTGTCTAGGTTACATATAGCCTTGCTCAGAGCACATCGCCGTTGTCTGTCCAAAGACCTTTTGGTGTTGGATCAAAGATGAGGGCTGGGTTTCTGGGATGACTGCTCTTCTCACTTTTCTTCACAGCTGGACCAGTTTCAAGTGAGGCACATCCACCACTTCCGGCACCATCCTCCAAACCCCACAAGACCCGCAGGCGCTGGCAACCCCAGTAAGACCTCGAGAGGGAACACATCACCTGCCTGCAGTCTCTGGAAAGTCAGGAGCAGAGTCTGGATGCTGACCAGGAGCTGTGCCACACCACCTGGCACCACCTGTCAAACTTGTAATATTTTTCTAGTGTTATTTATTATGTTAAATACCATAAGAACAAAAGAACGGTCATACTGGGTCAGACCAACGGTCCATCTAGCCCAGTATTCTGTCTGCCGACAGTGGCCAATGCCGGAGGCCCCAGAGGCAGTGAACAGCACAGGAAATCATCAAATGATCTCTTTCCTGTCATCCATTTCCAGCCCCTGATAAACAGAGGCTAGGGAAACCATTCCTACCCATCCTGGCTAATAGCCATTGATGGACCTAACCTCCATGAATTTATCTAGTTCTTTTTTGAACCCTGTTAAAGTCCTGGTCTTCACAACGTCCTGTGGCAAGGAGTTCCCCAGATTGACTGTGTGCTGCATGAAGAAAAACTTCCTTTTATTTGTTTTAACCCTGCTAACTATTAATTTCATTTTGTGACCCCTAGTTTTTATATAATGGTAACAAGTAAATGACTTTTCCTTATTCACTTTTTCCACAAGAGTCATGAGTTTAAAGATCTCAATCATATCCCCCCTTAGTCTTCTCTTTTCTAAGATGAAAAGTCCCATCTTTTTAATCTCTCTTCATATAGCTCCCATTCCAAACCCTTAATCATTCTTGTTGCCCTTTTCTGAACTTTTCCAGTGCCAGTATATTTTTTTTGAGATGAGGCAAACACATCTGTATGCAATATTCAAGATGTGAGCGTACCATGTTTTATATAGAGGCAATAAGATATTCTCTGTCTTATTCTGTCTCCTTTTTTAATGATTCCTATCATTCAGTTTGCTCTTTTGACTGCTGCTGCACATTGAGGCTAGGTCTACACTACAGAGGTTTTTTTTCAGAAAAACGGCTGTTTTTCCGAAAAAACTTCACTTACATCCACACTGCAATGGTGTTCTTTTGGGAAAAAAATCGAAAGCCCATGAGCTCCTTGCACAAAATGCACCCGTATGCCACCTGTCCATAGGGCAGGTAATCATACTGGCTACATTGGGTGCAATAAACAGGATAGCCCCCACTCTGCTGTTAGATTTCTGCCTGCATTCTCTCCTACAGATAATTAGATTATAGACAGGGCTTTCATTTAAATCGGGTAATTATGGTTTTGGTTTAGTTTAAAAGTTTTAAAGAATGCCAAGTGTATCTAGCTTCCTTGAAACTCCCTCTCATGAAACTCCCTGTTAGCTGTTCCTTTTTGCTAGTTCCTTGGTCAGTTATTAGCATGCTTTATATTATATAGTCCTGGCCTTCCTGATAGCCTCACCTATCAGGCTAAGGCTTGACCAATGAACAGAGGGTTCTAGATTTCAAATCTTCGTTAAGAAGCTCACAGCTTCCAACTGCCAGCCTCAGCACACGGTCCTTCAAACAAACAGCTCAGCACAGGAATCAATAAACAAACGGACAGATACGAGCTCAGCACACAGTATCTTTCAGACAACCATCAAGTAACCTACAAACACACACACTATAGACAGCCATTTACCCCAAGGGTCCCATAATTGTTCCTCCTTCACCTGGAAACTCCCTCACGAAACTTCCTGTTACCTGCCCCTCTTCACAAATCCCTCTATGAACACTCTTACTCAGAATTAAAGAGTCCCTAATTTGATTTAATTTATTTTTCAAGTGAATTACATGAAGCCCAAATAAAACTACTTTAATTCTGAATGAGAGTGGTCACATGGATTGGATGCCATTTAACTAATCTACTTCAAATTCACACCTTTAATTAATTTGCATTAATTTTCCTAGCTATCCTCAAGTATACAAACTATTAGTCTCCTGTATAGTCTTCCCTTCATTTGCCTTGGGGTATGTCTACACATCGAAGTTAATTTGAAATAACAGCTGTTATTTCAAATTAACTTCGATGTGTAGACATACCCCAAGGCAAATGAAGGGAAGACTATACAGGAGACTAATAGTTTGTATACTTGAGGATAGCTAGGAAAATTAATGCAAATTAATTAAAGGTGTGAATTTGAAGTAGATTAGTTAAATGGCATCCAATCCATGTGACCACTCTCATTCAGAATTAAAGTAGTTTTATTTGGGCTTCATGTAATTCACTTGAAAAATAAATTAAATCAAATTAGGGACTCTTTAATTCTGAGTAAGAGTGTTCATAGAGGGATTTGTGAAGAGGGGCAGGTAACAGGAAGTTTCGTGAGGGAGTTTCCAGGTGAAGGAGGAACAATTATGGGACCCTTGGGGTAAATGGCTGTCTATAGTGTGTGTGTTTGTAGGTTACTTGATGGTTGTCTGAAAGATACTGTGTGCTGAGCTCGTATCTGTCCGTTTGTTTATTGATTCCTGTGCTGAGCTGTTTGTTTGAAGGACCGTGTGCTGAGGCTGGCAGTTGGAAGCTGTGAGCTTCTTAACGAAGATTTGAAATCTAGAACCCTCTGTTCATTGGTCAAGCCTTAGCCTGATAGGTGAGGCTATCAGGAAGGCCAGGACTATATAATATAAAGCATGCTAATAACTGACCAAGGAACTAGCAAAAAGGAACAGCTAACAGGGAGTTTCATGAGAGGGAGTTTCAAGGAAGCTAGATACACTTGGCATTCTTTAAAACTTTTAAACTAAACCAAAACCATAATTACCCGATTTAAATGAAAGCCCTGTCTATAATCTAATTATCTGTAGGAGAGAATGCAGGCAGAAATCTAACAGCAGAGTGGGGGCTATCCTGTTTATTGCACCCAATGTAGCCAGTATGATTACCTGCCCTATGGACAGGTGGCATACGGGTGCATTTTGTGCAAGGAGCTCATGGGCTTTCGATTTTTTTCCCAAAAGAACACCATTGCAGTGTGGATGTAAGTGAAGTTTTTTCGGAAAAACAGCCGTTTTTCTGAAAAAAAACCTCTGTAGTGTAGACCTAGCCTCAATGTGCAGCAGCAGTCAAAAGAGCAAACTGAATGATAGGAATCATTAAAAAAGGAGACAGAATAAGACAGAGAATATCTTATTGCCTCTATATAAAACATGGTACGCTCACATCTTGAATATTGCATACAGATGTGTTTGCCTCATCTCAAAAAAAATATACTGGCACTGGAAAAGTTCAGAAAAGGGCAACAAGAATGATTAAGGGTTTGGAATGGGAGCTATATGAAGAGAGATTAAAAAGATGGGACTTTTCATCTTAGAAAAGAGAAGACTAAGGGGGGATATGATTGAGATCTTTAAACTCATGACTCTTGTGGAAAAAGTGAATAAGGAAAAGTCATTTACTTGTTACCATTATATAAAAACTAGGGGTCACAAAATGAAATTAATAGTTAGCAGGGTTAAAACAAATAAAAGGAAGTTTTTCTTCATGCAGCACACAGTCAATCTGGGGAACTCCTTGCCACAGGACGTTGTGAAGACCAGGACTTTAACAGGGTTCAAAAAAGAACTAGATAAATTCATGGAGGTTAGGTCCATCAATGGCTATTAGCCAGGATGGGTAGGAATGGTTTCCCTAGCCTCTGTTTATCAGGGGCTGGAAATGGATGACAGGAAAGAGATCATTTGATGATTTCCTGTGCTGTTCACTGCCTCTGGGGCCTCCGGCATTGGCCACTGTCGGCAGACAGAATACTGGGCTAGATGGACCGTTGGTCTGACCCAGTATGACCGTTCTTTTGTTCTTATGGTATTTAACATAATAAATAACACTAGAAAAATATTACAAGTTTGACAGGTGGTGCCAGGTGGTGTGGCACAGCTCCTGGTCAGCATCCAGACTCTGCTCCTGACTTTCCAGAGACTGCAGGCAGGTGATGTGTTCCCTCTCGAGGTCTTACTGGGGTTGCCAGCGCCTGCGGGTCTTGTGGGGTTTGGAGGATGGTGCCGGAAGTGGTGGATGTGCCTCACTTGAAACTGGTCCAGCTGTGAAGAAAAGTGAGAAGAGCAGTCATCCCAGAAACCCAGCCCTCATCTTTGATCCAACACCAAAAGGTCTTTGGACAGACAACGGCGATGTGCTCTGAGCAAGGCTATATGTAACCTAGACAGTGGGCACCTTCCTGCAGGTACACAGATGTCCCAGGGGAGCTTCCCTATCCCCACATCCCAGGGACAAGCAGGCATTGGAAGGTGCCAGCCAGACCAGAAGCTAGCGGGCAGGAAGAGGGTGATGAGGTGGGTCACCTTCTCTCCATGCTGTGAACATGCCAGGTCCAGCAGTGGCGGCATCCCACAGGGAGAGGGGGAAGAGTGTTGGGGGAGAGGTGTGTGAGTGGCAGACACCATGTGCTTGGAAGGGCGTTACTGGGTCCCCTCTTCTTCCTCCCTCCCGGCAGGTTCCTATGGCAGGGGCTCGGAGTCCTCTGCCTTGCAGCACTTGCCTGGGAGCAGATGCTATCCCAGGAGCGTGGGCATGACCTCATGCCATGTGCAGCACTGCTGTTGTGTCCATGGCCCCATCCTCCTTAGTGGTGGCTTGTGATGGGAAGGTGTCCCACCACAGTCTCGGGGCCTCTCCAGAAACCCTGTGATCAGGAGTGCAAGGTTCCTTTCATGTGGAGAGGAATCTTCGCCCATCACATACCAGAGGTGCCCATTGTCTGCATTTTCCCAGGTGTGAATTATGCTTTGCACCCTTCGTGGGAAACTTGGCATTCAAAGCCATTTTTCCTAATTGGCCACTTGAGATCAGAAAGAAGACTATGTGACCGAAGGGGTATAAAGAGGGGTTTAGTAGCCCACCCCATTTGAGCTCCAATCATCTATACCTGCTGGCAGGTATTGATTGTCTCCCGAGATCCGTGGGACGCCCAACCTTGCCCTACTTCTTCCCGAGGGATTGAGAGAAAGACGCTGGCCACGCCAAGTCTGGAACGCAGGGGTGAGAATATATACCTGCTAGGTGTCTATTTTGCATGCATTTAATAAGAGCTCAGAGAACCAAAAGGGTTTCATGGTATCTGTAAGTGACTTCTTAGTGTAATTTCTGTCCTATTCTTTGTAGTGGTTGTGTTATCTGTAACACAGTAGTAGCATTTAACAGCTAAGTTTACC